GTCCATAGATTTTCAGGGAAAATCTTCTGGTGTAGAACTTTATGAGAACTACACGAACATCCTCTATTTGTACTTTTCTGTATCTGGATATTTCGTGACTAGTATTTATTCTGATATGAGAGACGATGCGTTGAATTTGCTTCGCATGTTTTGAAATAAAATAATCAGAATAAAAGGATATTTAGGAGATTGTACAAATAAATGGTTTCATTGTCATAGTCGCTTGATCATTTTTAAGGCTATTCGTGACTCCTTTGAGAAACAAATTTAAAGAAATGATCTTAAGCGCGAGAGTACACCAAGATGGACTTCTCTAAATAAATTATTATTCTAATTACCGTACCAAGGGCTTTTAAGAAAATAAATGGAAAACAATTAGGTAACTTACCGGTATTACCGGTACTGAACCTCTCAGTTCCGAAATAGCGGTTCTCGCAAAAAGGGTCCAGTACTGACAACCCTATCTATAGGCTAATATTTACGCCTGTAGGTATGCGTGGCGTAATAATGGTGTTCAATGAAAAATGAGATTTTTTTCAGTCCTATAGGTAGTAAAAAAATCAACGAATTCAGTATTTTTTTTATTAAAAACATAATGTTAATTCCAAAAAAAAAACGTCAATGAATATTGGAGAAGGGGCCCTGGTCAGCCGTACGACGCAACTTAGTCGCGATGCTCTCACAAGAGCACTGGACGGCACTGATATCCATCTTCCGGATACAATTCCGGATCATCGTGGTCAACTGTTTCGTATCCTTGGCCCGCCAATTATTTTTGTGCACTAGGGCACTGAGGGAGCCGAAAAAATCCTCAATGGGACGGCACTGGGGCGGAAAGTAACTTTCGTCGTCCAGCACGAACGACGTCCCGCGGTAGTTCTTCGTCATCCACAGGCACTGCGATTTCACGGTCGCTATCGCCTCGTCCGTGTACTCGAGGGACCGAGTCTTCTTCCGACAGATGATGCCCTCCATCTTAAGGGTTCGGTGAATCAAGGTATGGGAGCAGTGATATTTTCGGCCGGCATCACGCAAACTCGTTCCGTCCTTGTTGTCGAACAGCTTTTTCAACGCTTCCTTCTTCTTCTTCTTCGTCATTATCTTCGCCGGACGGCCGCTACCGGCCTTCCGCTCCACGCTCAGGGATGCCAGGATCCGGTAAACTGTACTCACGGACACGTTTTCGTATCGAACGTAAACTACCGTAAACTTTTTTTCCACGATGACCATGTGTTTCGTAAAACTGTACAACACGCTCGCGGAATGCTTGCTGTTTCGACGCCTTCTTCGATTGAACTGACAGCACCCTAGCGAAAATAAACATGCCACGCATTTTTAGGGAGTCCAGAATCATTCTCATTTTTAATTGTACTCGAGCTCGAACTTGAGCTCGATTCAAAGTAAATCAGGACGCACGGTTTAAAACACCACCACGCCCCTGGTGGTTGGAACAAAAAACGTTTGACAGGCATTTGTTGGTGTTTTATTGACGTAGAAATTGGTGAAAAGTTTTTCTCGATTTATCGACGCATCCCAAAATTACGGATCATGGAACTTGAGAAAAGAAAATTAATTGTGCACAAACATCTAACCCTTCGTGGTCTGCCTCAAAAATAGCAAAAGTGTTAAAATTTCCAAAGTCAACAGTGAGTCTTGTAATCAAACGTTACAAGAATACTCTGAGTGTGGATAGAGCACCCCAGGTGTATCCATACGTGGTTTGGCAAAGAAATAAAATTCCAACTATTCCACCGTGCGTAACATCCTTTCAAGAGACGGATATAAGCAACAATCAATACGAAACTAACGATTTTAAATTGGCTCACTACTTGACTAGCCTATTGGTCCCAAGCAAACGATTAACGTACCCCATTCAAGTCGAAATTCTAGTACTACACAATGTTTGTTTTGATTCGCTATGCAAGTTTGACAGATAAAATGAGGGGTTAGTGGATTTTCCTATGTTTCGAGGGGTGAATCGTTTAGCTTGGGACCGAAGACAGTACCAGAGCTGAGCCAAAAAGTTGAGCACGTTTCTTCGTGATCTTCTAGTCTTAGAGTTACCTCTATGATATAAGTCTATGCCAGTAGACATCCGAATCGCTCCCTGAAACAAAATTTAGTGGCCAAAAAGCGAGCACAATTACTATACGAACGAGTTTTGAAGAAATTGATGACGAAACATATGTCAAAATGGATTATAAACAAATCCCCGGGCGATGTCCCTTCTAGGTACAAAAACTTGTTTTTGCTGATAAGTTTGCTCGGAAACTAATGATTTGGCAAGGAATCTGCAGTTGTGGCCTTAAAACCAAGGTTTTCATCACATCTCACACAATGACATCTAAGGTTTACACTAAAGAGTGTCTGAAAAAGCGGATTTTACCCTTCATTCGGCAACACAAGACCAACGTTATGTTTTGGTCGGATCTAGCCAGCTGCCACTACTCTAAGGAGGTACTAGAATGGTATGCTGCAAACAATGTTAATTTTGTTGCCGAAGAGATTAATCCTCCGAATTGCCCTGAGTTCAGACCGATCAAAAAATATTAGGCAATTGTCAAGCGAAAACTTCGCGGTTGCGGTAAAAAAGTGACAAATGCGTTTAAAGTGGAATAAGTTCGCCGGTACAGTGTCACCAGCGACTGTGCAGATCATGATGGTATCGATCACAAGTAAAGTGTGACAGTTCGTTCGAAACGGTGAAATATAATAACTTGTTATATATTGTTTGAAAGCTGATACCCTTTTGTTTGACGTTTTCATCAACCGTGTTTGTTGTTTAATTCTTGAGTTATGATCATTTGAATGCGTCCAAATTTACTTTGAATCGGGCTTTAAATTCAGGCAAATTTGACACCGTTCGTGGGCAAAAATTGACAAAACCGCGACTAAATTGAATATCTCGCCTGCCAAACGGTTTCATATTATCAAAGGAAAAACTCTGCTGAATCGATTGGTGGTGGTTTCATTGGTCGGAAACATTTGCGTACTGAGATAGAGGGCCGGGATCAACCCGAGTTCCCGGTAAAGTAGGAAATGCCACTATCTATCGACATAATTTTACACTTTACTTAACGTCTATTAATGGAAATTGAAAGTTATAAGTATATATAGTGTGAAGACACCATATACGCCCTCAGGGAAACTCTATTAGCCTAAAGGAGGATCCGGAACGACCGATAAAGTGATCACATTATATAAATTGTCCTAGAACAATGCGGTTTATTCTATATTGTACAGAATCTAGAGATCAAAGCGTATTTAACTAGTAATACATATTTTAGTATATAGTGGCATTATCCTGGTTCACCGGATAATCAGGATTGACCGATAAAGTGGCCACGTTATAAAAATTGCCTTGAGAATTTTTCTATGTTTTTTTAGAATGATGAGATCAAAGCGAATTTAATAAAGAATTTAAATGTTGGGGTAAAGTGGCCATATCCTGGTTCCCTGGATAATCTGGATTAACCAATAAAGTGGCAACATAAAAAAAATCATATAACCTTGCGATTGTTTCTTTATTAGTTCAGAATCATGAGATCAAAGTGAATTTAATATGGAGAACCAATGGAGGATATGACCACTTTACCCCAAAATTTAAATTCTTTATTAAATTCGCTTTGATTATCAAAATACATATTCCAAGTTAAAACGCTTTGATCTCGTGATTCTGAACAATATGGATAAACCGCAAAGGATCTAGGACAATTTTTATATTGTGGTCACTTTATCGGTCAATCCAGATTATCCGGATAACCAGAATATGGCCACTATACCCCAAAATATAGTTTCATATTAAATACGCTTTGATCTCTTGATTCTGAACAACATTGAAAAAATCACAACATGCTATATATATTATCAAATCCTTTGAAAATATGTATAACATGTTGACTGAAACCGTTTGGCACCGAGATATTCAATTTAGTCGCGGTTTTGTCAATTTTCGCCCACTGTGCGTTGTTGGGGATCTCAATAAACAACAGGAAACAGGGGGTTGTGATCCACAATACAAACTTGGCCCACCCTGCTGTGCATGTAGAACATTTTGACCGCTACAACTTTGCGGAAAATCACTTTTCGATTAAATGTTTTTAAGGATTTAAGTCGCTGGTGTCTTTATGATTATGCTCAATCAACCGCTCAGATGGCAACATTGGTGTATCTAGCACGTGGAATAGAGCACAAAAGTCATGGCTACTATTTCATACAGCACAATGCAGTGTTGCCCACAAAACAACTGCTTGATCATGTCATAAGATTATCGATCTCTTAAATAATTAATAACTATTGCATTAGACGATTAGCTGCAAAACGATATTAGCGCAAGGTGTATCTGAGAAAATGTCCAATAAGAATAGCTGTAGAACGTTTCATCAAGCAATATGGAAAAGGCTAGAAGATAATGAACAAACAGTTTGGTTTTCCCATAGTAATTAACGCGTAAACTTCAAATGGATTGTTCCAAGTCAGTTTCATTCCTAATGAGTTTAAATTTTGAGAGGCTGATCAGGGCCTGATTTGAAGCCGTTTGAGAACTTTGACTTTCAGTTCATTTGATTTGAATTATTAAATGCTAGCTAATTATTTAAATATTATTAAATTTAACAAAAAATAGTCATAAGCGGTGCCGGTGGTGTAGTGGTAAGCGTGATTACCTCTCACCCCAGCAGGCCTGGGTTCAATCCCAGTCGGCGCCGTCGGGATGTTCTGAGGCATAACATCTCTGATCACGGGAAGTAAAGCCGTTGGTCCCCGGTTCATGAGTTGATGGGTCGATAGGTAGGGTCCAGCTGGTGTGGGAGATGCTTTCCTGGCGTCGGTAGCATTGGTGCTCAGCACGGAAAACAAGATCGACAGAAAATAAATCAAAGAAAAAAAACACTCATAATGCTTCATGGTTGGAATGGAAAAATTAATCATAAAATCATAAAAAATTCTGAAAATTTCTTCACATAAACCTAATTTTCTTATTTCTCTCTACCTCCTTACAGAATGGATGGACGAAGGCGGCATCGATGAGAAACCAATCTGTGATAATGTCACATCCGTGCAACCTTATAGAGATTAGTATTAAAGTAGTGTACCTGAATAGTGTGATAGAAATGGATATGTAGAGTGTTTTCGGCCAACCAGGCAACCCATCCCAAATAATAATGAACAGATCGAACAACGTATGGTGGACAGCCAAGGATCTCATGCATAATAATAAGACGCACACCAGTTGGTACCCCTGCCCGACACTGTGCATCGTGTTATGCAGCAAACGAGTCACCTCCAAGGGCCACCGCAACAAGAATGAACCAGGTTCAGAGTGATCTAGTAAAGTCAGCAGTAACCGCAAAAACAGCAACCGCAATCAAACAATCGAGCCACATCAACGGCACTAGCGGCAAAACCGCAATTGCCAACAACATCAACATCAACAACAACAACAACAATAACCATATCAACGCTTCAGCAACTACCACGATCAATAACAATAACCTCGACAGCAAGAACAAGAACCAAAACCCTTCGAGTCAGGTGAACAGCCCGAACAGTGTTATTCATATGACAAACGTCAGTGTGCCACAGAAGCTTCTGGTCCCGAATGGGAAATCGCAGGCACCGGCAGCGCCCTCTGCACCGGATGCACGGGCAAAGCAGGTCCTAAAGGAGGCAGTTGATGCCGTTGTAAATAGTTTCGCCAAACACACCCAAGGATATGGTAGAGGTAAGTGCCCCTTCAATTTCTGCTCTTTTCATCAGGCCCAGCTCATTTTTACACTGCGGCTGACGTTTCGCACAATCATCTTGATTTTTGGGTTAATTACGGTCATCGACCGGAGCCCTTTTGTATTCCCCCCCGAACAACAACGCAGCGAAAAAAAAAGGATAAAGAACCAACCCCATTCGGGATCCATCGGTCCATCGGTTTCGTCCCTTTTTTTCGTCAATGGGCATGGCTCCTCTTTGAAAAGGCGAATCATTTCTGTCGATCATCACTCATTTTGACATGGAAATTTGGGGCAGTGCATTTCGGGATTCAATTCCATTTAATTTTCTCCGAAATCCATTATCTTCCAACAAATGAATACACTTCACCTGCTTTCATCTTGCTATATGTGATGGGCTTGTGGTTCCGGAGAAATATGCGCATTTTTCAGCTCCGGTGGTGCGATGGTGCATACACACGGGACGGTCATTTTGGGACCCCTCTCTCTCCCTCCCCCCACTATCATCCCAGGGCAGCATGTCCGACCGCATCAAGCGAGCAAGCCCCCCAAAGAAATTACATTGAAAATAAATCTTTTCAAATCACACAATACATCATTTTCTGGCTAAAAAACCTAAAAAATGATTGTAGCTGAATCATCTTACATGACCGCACTGCTACAGCCGCCGTTCATTAACCAGAGGGGAGAAGTGTGGACAACATGAAGGGAAGTTGAGTGCAATCTCGGACACAAGTGCAGTGACGACGGGGCCGTTCCTTGTGGCGCACGCCCGTTCTACTGAACTGCAGCGAAACTGCATCGACGGGGCACTGGTGTGTCAAAGTGATGTCAGATTGCGCATTCCTTGAAGACAATTTTCAGGAACAATTGATGGGTTTATTGTAGTACTTAAAATATAAACTGCATGTGCTAGACTGTTGCAAGAACATCTTCTAAGTCATTTTAATTCCGTACTCTCCATTTTTGTTAAAAGTTTTGATTCTCAGAATTGATGCGACTGGATTGAACATTGATGTGAAAAGAACAAATCTCGCGTTACTTTTTCAAATAGACCAATCTACCTCTATTGACTAATTCTCTTCTTCGACTCTCTCTTTCGTAATTAACACGGTTATAACAACGTTTCCAGTCGTCTTTATCGTATTAGATGCTGGTTTGTTGCTTCTTCCATCGATCTGTGGGTCGAAAATATCCAAAAATATCTTAAAACGGCCGTGGAAATCCAAAGATAGGACCTATTGAAAAGTGACACGAGAAATCTTCTTCATCCTAGCTGCTCCCAACTCAGTGTTTTTTGAAGCGCTTGGCAACTTTCTACGCATGAATTTGAATTATGTGTGTCAATCACAATGATACTCTATGCCCAGGGAAGGCGAGAAAATTTCCAAAGCGTAAAATTGTCTTTACAGGATCATTTCCGGTTTGTCAAGGCCGTGTCTCAGCGTGAACTAACTAGGCCATCTATAGAATTTTTAGAGAAATTCAATTCATAAAGTGTAACTACCTACCAGCCCATTCTACCCAACGGGTACCGAGTAGATCCCGTCAATATATTGACTCCATCGACACGGAGGATAACACCCCGGATTTTGTTTTTGCACTTTGCACTCGCAACCGTCAAAAATCACATCACCCCGTTACAGCACGTGAAAGTCCATCAATTCGACAAGTCATTATTTCCAAAAGCTTAGCAATCAATCACCCTGTCATATCGAACAAGCGAGCGATGGGAAAAAGGGCGCTTCACGCCGATCGTTGTTCCAGCGGATCTGCGCCAGGATCACCAAGCACCACCCGTTGGCACAACTGTGGAAAAATTGGCACCACACAGATATGGCGAGTTTTGCGTCAATTTGTTTTCCATTCGCCATGTTTACCCCAAAGGACAGCAGCACGGTTGCTTGCCCTCAAAAGTGCACTGACATGTTTTGTTTTCTTCTTGCCTGATGCACACCGCACATCAAAGCTACACTTTCTATGTTTGGCATTTAAAAATGTACTTTGAGGAATGACGCCAAATTCATCAGGGAGTGGTTCCGTGTTTGCACAGGCAACGTTTTTCTTAATTAATTTAGATTGGTTTTTCGACGAAGCAAATTTGATGCTGATGCAACTCGCAGCTCGTTACCGCGCAATTCTGGTTAGATGGTTGAATGAAATAGGGGAGAGGGAGGAGGCCTTTCGGTTGATCGTTTCTTGATGATATTGTATTTGCGCTGTGCCTTCATTCTTGAGGAGGCTTTCAGGTGCATAACATCCTTATTTGTCGGGTGGGCTGCCTCAAAACCGTCAATTGCTTTGAAACAAGGTATCAAGTCATTGAGTGTTATGGAGCGGTTGACGGCTCAAGAGAGAAGGTGATAAAAATCTCTGAACATCATTGAATCTAAAATCTAATTTTATGTCAAACATGTGCTTGATTCTGAATCTCGAATACAATGTATGTATTTTTTGTATAATACGATTCAACGCGATCGTACCGCCTACCATAAACATAGCGTTATATATTAACAATTGTTAATTTAGAGCTTTTTTAACATGACCTTGCTCCTTTTGCGAGATTTGACTTTGATAATTGAAATGTACCGGATTTAAAAAAAAATACATTAACTCGTCAAAAACTTTGGTTCAGGGTTGTGCAATATCGTGACAATTAACATATAGTGATGGTTATTGTGTAGTGACGGCCTTCTAGTTTCGAATACCATCAAAGCGGGTATGCCTCACATGAATTGCATCCAGCGTTGCCAGGTCATTTTCATAAAAATCTGGACCAGTTAAAATATAAAATCTGAAAAAACTGGAAGGCTCCGAAAAATCCTGTTTTAAACATAATGCTATTGAAATCTGGAATTTATTGAAAGAACCAGAATGTTTATGATTTTTTTTAACTAGTTCGTTTATTTGGAAGGCTCAATCGCGTTAGCTTTAGCCGATAGTTCATTGTTCTTTGTTTGTAACAAAATTCACTTAGTTCTATGTCTAGTAGGAGTTGGGTCGAATACTCGCGGTTAACTCGAGGTTAAAGAGGTACATTGTCGAATGATAGAATCAGGTTAGGAGTTTGTAGGTAAGGTTTCGTTGTCTCATCAGAGCGTTGTCGCCAGTATGAATGGTAGTGCGGTTCTAGTTTCGTCTGGAGTTCGACCGGCTATGGTGACCAGTGGGCGACGATGAGACTCATCGAGACGGGGAGACAACAGAGATGCCAGATTTTTTTCTTTGTAATTCCGTAGTCTTATTCAAATCTACGGATTTCTACAGTTTCGAACTTCTGATAGGTGATATTTTACGTTAAATGATAAATCGATGAAAGAACTTTTTTAAAAATGGTTTCAAATTTCGATTTTTCGGAACCACTCTTACTAACACGTGCACACTTAGGTGTTTCATTCTGGAAAAAAGATTGATATTTTTGATAGACCACCCCCTAGTTCAGTTCATAACACAAAACAAACATCTGTGCAAAGAATCAGCTGAATTGGTCAACGTTAAGAGGTCGCGCCAAAGATTTCAATTCTATTCGGGATTTTCATCAAATTAGTATTGGAGAAAATGATGACCCACTTGGTTGGTTGTCGGTTGGTTGTCTTTATTAAGGCTGAAAATCTCAAGTTTCATCGAGGTTTTAAAGCATGCCACAAATCTAAATCATGGTCCCCAGAACCCTTATAAAATCAAAATTGTTATTTGGGTTGTCTTCATCCGTAACGCCGATGTCTTTATAGTCGAAAACTTGCATCTCACTGAACTCATTATCGACTTGCTGCCAGTCTTCTTTGTCAATTACGTTGTTGAAATGACCGAGTAGATAGCCCAAACTAGTGGATTGCTTCAGTTTTTTCGGCTCCAAGAGGTTTAGATTCCTGAATACCACGTTATCCAATTGCAATCGTATAAGCATTTGCTTAACCAGCTCCACATTTAAGCATAAACACCGGTTTTGAAATTCTGTAATTCTTTTCCTGTCGTATTTAACGGAGTTGATGAGGACTGATACTTTAACGCCAAAATATATTTCACCCAATAGTTTGAAATCGTTGTTTTCAAATCTAAGCTCTTTCGGATTAGAATCAGCAAGCAAAACTTAAGGTATTACGAAATAGTCCAAGATTTGGTTTACTTTTCGTTTCAAAGTAGAGTGCATGAATATGATTTCTGGCTTTTCTGCTTGAAAAACCTTGTTAGTTTTATCGACAATCGGCAGAATTAAATTAAGCAACTACAGGTACAGCTCGCTAATTGGGTCTTGTAGCACGTTTCTATTTTCATTGCGTTCGAAAGCGAGCAAGAAATTGGTTGACAAGTTGCAGGGGTGTATTTTACTTTATGCTTCTTTCTCTTCAGAACCAGATTATACTCTAGATCGTAAAATTGGATTCTGAAGGGAGGAAACTACACTCAATAAATTCCACATGTTTGATCGAAGCGTTTAAACACTTGAGTTTTTTAAATGCACAATCACATTTACTTTAAGTGCATTTCACCTTGGTTCAATGTGTAAGTAACGTTAATTTCTAGTGTTTTAAACTTTGAAATGTTGAAAATCTTTCACTATCTGTTCAAGTGCATTGCACATTGAATCACACTACTGTTCAAATTCACTACTGCGATTTTGAATTGCTTACTCTTGTGCAAGACTTGTGACTTTATCCTATCAACCCGCCTCATATATGAGAACAACCGAGGCACGAAGACTCCGGCAGCAGCACACCCCAACAGTCCATCATCGAATCCCAAATCAGACCCATTAAGATGATATGTGAAAGCTCTGGCCTCTGGCAGTTTTGTTTATTGTATATTTATCGATTCATTTTTAGAGTCGGCAAAGTGGAAGTCAATAAAGTAGAATATTGTAGAATATTGAACTATGATGTGCAAAGCTATTGATATCACCATATGAGGCACATAGAATCCAAGTGTGTCACAATTCAGATCCATAGTGTTCAGACATGATTCATAGCATAAGATTCACACATGAAATGGATGTGTTTCA